TTTTTTTAACATTAAGCTTAAGGCTTTGAGGCTGGGGTCTTTCACTGTCACTCTGAGATTTTATTTGACAAGGATTTTAAAATGCATTATACTTATTTAATATGTTTTCCTTGGCCAATATTTATTTATATCTACAATCATGTTTTTCATTTCCATTAATTATTTATATTAATTTTTTACTTTCATTTCAATTTCATTGCCTTATTTTTTTTCTTATATCCAGAAATAGATTTCTTTATTTTGAAGATTATGCCCTGTTGGGCAATATCTGGGGTCTCGGTTTTGCAAGGAACTCAGTCTTGTGACAGTCTCTTGAGGCATGCCTGTGTTTTCCGTGAATGTGTCTTGACACTCTAGGCCTATGGCTTCAGTGTAAGTTCCTGCCTGTAGGCAGAGTATGGCTTCTGAATATGCAAACCTAATTCTGATAAAGCCCTTAGCAGCAAGGGCATGCCTGATCTCTATTGGCTTCAGCTACTTCCTCTATTCTTCTCCCTCCTCATGATTCTATAAAAAGCCTATGTACACAATAAAAGTTGAAGTTGCTGCGCCCCCTTGGCTGACTCAACTCCCAACTGGGTGTGATTCTTGACCAGGCTGGGTGGCACGCCGGGTCCCAACACTCACACTTTCCCTCAGATAGGGAAGCACCAGCTGGGCTGCTGCGTTCCCCAAACCTTTGTCGGAGGGCGGTTCTGACAATGCCCTTATATTTTTATAATGCAATTTAAATAAATATAAATTTATTTCTTCTTATGTTTGCAAGATAAGTAATAATACTTAATAATAATAATAATAACAATAATAATAATATTGCAGTACTGTGGACTGAACTTAGGTTTAATGCATACTAGTGAAACATTCTACCGCTAAGCTACACTCCAAACCCTTATTAATTTATTTATTCATTCCTTCATTTGGGAGACAGGGTCTTGCTAAATTTTCCAGGTTGGCCTTGAACTGACAAGCCTACTGCCTTAGCTTCTTGAGTTCACCAGATTACAAGTATGCACCAGAATGACAGGTTAATATCATAAAATTTTAAGTAATACAAACTTGTTAAAAAATCCTAGAGAATTAAAATGTTTGCATATACAAACTGAGAAAAATATATATTATACAATAAATATATTTTTTTGATATTCTAACCCAAACACATCATTTAAATTATCTGTGTTCATTAATTAGAAATAAGTCACTAAAAGTTATTTACAGGGAATTATTACTATGTTTATATTGAATTTTACATGATATTTTTCATAAAAATATCACAAGTATCTAAAATTTTAAGGAGCTACTTAAATGTAGTTGTTTAAGATAATGAGTTTGCACATTAATGAAAAAGACTAATAATAAGATAAAAATTGTTGCAGAATAAAAAATAAAGTCATAATTCTAATAACTTTAAGAAGACATTTTTGTACTCAGCATTAATGATAATTAAGTATTATAAGTTTTTATAAAAATAAAAAGTTCATCTTGTTGAAGGTAACAAGAAATTAATATTGTGAAAATAATTAAGATTTGATTCATGTTTTTAAAAATACTATTTGAATGACATTTTAAAATAAGATAAAACGTGTTTATATTTGAATAGTGTACATAATTACTTTGATGTTAAATATATTCTTTTTTAAATTTATAAGTCAATAGCATTTAAAAAAGAATAAAGGTGATACCAAGTGAATTTATATAGTTGCATAGGAGTCATATGTTGTTTTGCTTGGAAACTCATATAAAGAATAATGTCATAATGTATTATTTATAAAGTTACTGAGGCAAAGTACAAGATATAATTCTGTGGATATTCAGATTGGAATGTAAACTTATTGCATGTAAATTGGTACAATAAAATTACAACTTTTGAATATTTAGTGTTTTCTTTCAGTAAAAATTTCACTGGTTTAATTTTTTCAGTCAAAATATACTTCAAAAATTGAACTGACCAAACTCAAGCTCATGGCTATATGAGATGGGAAATAACATACTGTGAAAAAAAATCTTTTACCCAATGTTAAGATTATTGCACTATATAGAGAAAAGAAAAAAAATGTTTTGAAAAAATGTTTTTTTTTTAATTGAAAAAAAATGGATTTTCAAAATCAGCTTTTTTTTCTACCTAAATGATTTGGGAATTATAGATTTAACATTTTCTGTAATAAGAAAATTTGCATTTTCAATCTGCTCAGACTTGTTTTATAGCAGTTACTCTAAGTGTATCTACATGTTAATATTTTTAAATTACTTCTCTTAAAGCTAAAGATATTGACAAATGGATATGATTAGGATTTCTAAATAAAGCAGAGCTGCAAAAAGCAAGACTCCAAATTAAAAAGAACAAAACTTCAAAATAATCCCTCCTAATGGTTCTTTAACAGAAATCTAAGAATAAAAAGAATTAACATAAAGGTTAAGAAAACTTAATAAGTCAACCTTTAGAAAAGTACCAAAATATACACATGCAACATATTTTCTGTTATTAAATGAAAGAGCAGAAATAGAGTAAGAAAGAAGGAGGGAAGGGGCAGGGAGAAGGGAAGAAAGGGAGCAGGAGGAGGATGAGGAAAAGACAATTTCAAACATTATTTTAATATCACTGACTCATGATATCAAATAGAATTCTTTGCATATTAGAGAAACAAAAAACAAAAAGAAACTTCTGTCAGAATCATGGGGAGCTATATATGAACAGATGTTAGCAAAATGTTGTCATCATTCAAAAAAAGTAAAATCAAATGTGTTTTTCCTTATTTGGCCATTTAAATAATTCAGATATATGTTATTCTTTTTTATTTTGAAAATCCTAGCTGATTTTTCTTTAACTGTTCCCAGTTCTACTCCTACAGCAATTCTATATTTATTGTTACTCCTACTTGATAAATTGTGCTAGCTTCCAAAGTATGTTTCTTTCCCATTTGTGCTTCAGTTCCTCATGCTGCTAGTCATTAAATTTTCTTTTTCATTTGCATGTGAAAAAGAAACATTTAGAGTTATTCAATTATTATCATAATCTCTAAAATAATTTTCAGTGAGAAAATAGCTATACTTCTTAATAGAAATTTTCAAGATAATATAGTTTCCTTTAAAAATTGATAAATACAATATTTGAAACACAGAAAGTTGTTTTAATTAAAGATATTTTGTATGTTTTTTAATTTGCAAGCAAATTATAAGTTCATCTTTCATGTTTGCATCAGATACATTGTCTTTGTATATGATCCCATGAGATATAAACAACAGTTACAATTACTCTACATTAATAATCATACCTTACTGTGATTAATGAATAAGTAAAAGCAGAATCTCTTGAGAATATTTAGGAATGGTATACCAGCTATGTTCAAAGTAAATAATAAATGCAAAAAAATAGGGTTTGCTATATTTATGTCCAGAAGTGTTTCAATTATTATATAATGCATTCCTTGCCATCTAGAATTAAAGTATGATGGATATACCTCAGTCAATTATTTTCTTTCTAATTTGAGTAGATCATTAGGTAATAATGAAGGTAATATTCATGATCAATTCCTATATACATTGATGATTGGAAGAAGACATAATAATTTTGTCAATGTTACCTCAAACAACGTCAAAACAAGTTATCTTATGAAGCATGATTGTAAATATTGACTTGCCCAATTCACTTTCATCATAATTAAACCCATGGTGAATAGCTAAAAATTAATGAAAAAAACTTTTAGCTATTAATAGCATTTTTGAATTTTTCATATATTGCAATACATATTTGCTTAAATCTACACAAAACTTTTAAATTACAACTTTTGAATATTTAGTGTGTTTACTTTCAGTATAAATTTTAACAGTTCAAATTTTTTTGAGTCAAAATATACTTCAAAAATTGAACTGACCAAACTTGATCTCATGCCTATATGAGATGGGGAATTAACATACTGGGAAAAAAAATCTGTTTCCCAATGTTAAGATTGTTGCACTAGCATTTTTACTTTTCCCCCATGTTATTTTTCTCTTTGATTTTTACTGTCATGTGAGCTATAGTTATGGTTTTAATACATAATGGACTTCAAAAACGAATGGATGAGACAATGAAAGACTGTGTAGACGTGAAATGATTCGATTATAAGAGTCGTGACCTAATCAGTGTATTAATCCACTGATATGGATTAAATAGGTGTTAACTAGGCAGCCCTCCTTTTAAATTACATTTCTTGTTTCCTTCATTCCCTCCCCTCTCCCTCTTTCCTTTCTTTCCTCTTTGGTTCCTTCATTCCTTCCCTCATTCCTTTCTTCAGTTCCTTCCTTCCTTCCTTCCTTTCTTCAATATTTTCTTCCTTCTTTACTTCCTTCCTTCTTTCCTTCTTTCTTTTCTTGTATCAGGGATTGAACTCAGGGGTACTGGACCACCAAGCCACATCCCCAGCCCTATTTTGTATTTTATTTAGACAAAGACTCACTGAGTTGCCTAGTGCCTCAGGTTGATTGTCCTGCCTCAGCCCCTGAGTCGCTGGAATTTCAGGCACTGCCATCAACCATGCCTAGCATCTTGTGTACTTTATTTCTTAAGATTACATCTTCAGACTTCTATTCCCATTCAGCCCACACCTCCAAAGGTTTCCTATTATCTCCATGCAGGCCACCAGTGAGAACCATGGACTGAACATCTGAAACTGTGAGAC